TTCGAGCCCCCGCAAGATGAGTCTCGCGTTCGCGCAGATTTCTGTGCGCTCTTCGGCAAGGGCAGATGTCCATGCGTGATTACGTCCAGAAGACGCGACATCTGGCGTCATGTATCGTGACCAAGCCAATCGACATGGCCTCGCAAGTCCACGTATTTGTGTTCGGCATGCGCGAGGGTATGACCCGCTACTGCCTCACCAGAGCTGAGCCCTCCTCTCTCGAGGAGGCGTTTGCACTCGCGATTCGCGAGGATTACATGGTCGCTGCATCGTACGCCGCAGCCATACCTGCGGAAGCCCGAGAGTCTACCCCCGAGCCCATGGAGATCGACGCCATCAACGCGTCGAGCGATCGACGTCGCGGGTCCTACCGCGGTAGCGCTGGGCGAAGCAATCGTTCCCTCATTTGCTTCCGCTGTGGGAAGAAGGGTCACCGCGCGGCGGAGTGCCGCGCGCCAGCTCCCGTCGTCTCTCACGTCGATGCGGAGCTGTAACGGGCCTGGGGTGTCCGTTACTTGCTTACACGTAGTGATGAGGAAGCGTACAAGTTCAGTGATACTGAAACCAAGTACTTAGTCTGAAGGAAAATCAACTCTGTTTTTATTTAGGTCCAGGGCAGCTTACCCTGACCACTCAAATACACGTCAACTCCTTATTGGTTGATTATGGGTCTGGCTCCCCATATTTCAACCAATAAGGTGACGTCAGTTCAGCACACGCTACTCGTGTGCTGCTGCACCTACTTTTGTAATGCAAATCTACCTACTTATGTAATGGTGTGAACCACTACAAAGAACCTATAAAACTACCTACATATGCAACTTGGGAGAGCCCATTACATCACCCCCCTCTTAAGACAGCAATCACCTAACGGGGGTGCGCTTCGGAGAACAATCGGGAAAAACTGGGAAATGGCGGAGAAGAGAACGCTTGAGAACTTGACGGGCGGGAGCTCCTGCGAAGCTCAGGAGCAGCACAATACAACTTGCGCGGACGAGAACAACATGGCGCAGCAGACGGGGGCGGCGAACCAGGCAGGAAGCGGAACAACGCGGACGGCTCCAGCGTCGGCGACGACGCTGAACAATGGGTGGACCGCTGATATCGCACCTAAGAGCGTGAGTCGACTTGGGTTTCGGCCCGGCGTAATGAACGAGGATATGAAGCCGTGGGCGCTGTACGACTTGTCCGGGGCGGTGACCCCGGACGCGTTGGACACCATGCAGGACCACTTTCGGCGCTTCAGGCGTCTCCGGAACAAAACACTCGACGGCGCGACGTACGAAGCTTTGCAGAGATCATGGTGCGCTTTCATCCGACGGTGGAATCGGATGCATGAGGCTGGAGAAAGTGTCGTCGGCTGGCTCGGTGATCGCGAAGCCTTACAAGCCGAGCATTCACTCGGTGATCTGCGCCTGAAAGTCTGCGACGACGCTTGGACCGAAGACCGTTTGTGCTATGTCAACGTACGCGAAGGTTGCAGTTCGTGTGACATCGGGCGACGCCCGACGCAAGCTGAGTGGGATCAGCATATTGTCGAGTATCCGCTCATGCCGACCGAACACGCTTGGATCGAGAAGTATAAGCGCTCACTCTCCGAGTTCACCCAAGCGGCTATTCGCGGCGGCTCGCGCCGACAGCGTTCGAGACGGAGCCCGTCTCCGGCGCATTCGACGTCTCGTCGGGCGCGTAGTCGATCGTGTTCCCGATCGCCGCGAGGTCGCTCGCGGCCGCGTTTGACTCAAGGCTGGAGTCGTAGTCGTGGACGACATCAGGAACGTCACGAAGCAAGTTGGCGCGAGGCTCCCACGTATCATCAGCAGGTTGAAACCCGAGCCATCGTACCTTATACTTCCGCGCGGCGGGAGCCGCGTGTTGAGCTGACGACTTGGTCGAGTGACGCGCGCGGGGAGGATCTTCGTGATCAACAATACGGTCCACGATCAAGCACGTACCTTTATTCGAGTCAACGATGGGCGGAGGACCGTCGCGGTGGAATTCGACGCGACCTGGTTGACCAGGACGACGCTGAGCAGGCGCTGAACACTTCTCGGGACGCACAGGAGGAGGCCGAGCGGGCGGCTGAGAGCTCTCGGAACGCCGAGGCGACGGCGAGTAGTTTGGGGCAGTCGAATCGTGAGCTCTTGCAGCGACTGCGTAGTCTGGAGGCGCAGGTGTTTGGCGGACCGAGGGGTGAAGCTCTTCCGCGCGAGCGGGGAACTGGGACAGATGGGACGCTGGCTCGACAGGCTCATCGCGAGGGCCGCTCAACGCATGCTCCAGCTCCGCCTCCGGGATCATCGCGGGAAGATACTTCTTAAGTCGCCCGACGTAGAACGTCGGGTGTAGTCGTAGCGACGTAGGAATGTCTAGCGTGTAGGCATCACCCATAACTCGTAGTACTTTGAATGGCCCAATGTAGCGCGGCGCGAGTTTGCTCGCGCCTAGGTTCGTAATAGCAGAGGTACGAATTCCATCCGTTGAGAGTAATACCCGCTCACCAATCTTGAATGCACTTGTGTTCTTGCGGCCACGTTTGTCAGCGTTTTCCTTCTGCTTGTCAACCGCGAGTTGTAGCGCGTCACAGACGAATCGGGTAACCGATTGGCGATGAAGGACAAAGTCGGATACCGCTGTCTTGTCAGCGGGTCGTGCTGGGAGTTTCGGCGCGTAGTTAGCCACAGTCGAGTGTGGCTGTGCTGGAGCGATCAGCGTTCGGTGTGTCCAGTCAACTAACGGCGACGACGTGGATTGCGCGGGTGCGAGGATCTTCTTCGACTGTAAACGCGTCACCGCGTTGATGTCTACTGCAGGAGTAGCTGAACTCGTAGACGGCAGAACCGTTGTCTCACCGGAAACCGGTGGTTGAACCAGTATCGGAACCGGTTGGGCAGGGTTATCACATTCCTCCCCCTCCAGAGTGAAGCCATCAGTCGCCGTGGGTTGGCCCACAGCAAGTTGTGCGGGGACACGTGGATGACGCGCGTTGTTGACGAAAAACGGAGTCAATCCCGTCGACGCGTGCTCGGCATTGTTGAGTGCAAACTCCGCAAGAGGCAGGAAGGAACTCCAGTTCTCGAAGGACGGGGCATAACTGCGCAGAACATCTTCTAGCACGCGGTTGACGCGTTCCGTTTGCCCGTCAGTCTCCGGGTGCGCCGCCGTCGACATGAGGAGTTTGGTGCCCAGGAGGTCGAAGGGTTTCGTCCAGAACGCCGATGTGAATCGGGGATCGCGGTCAGAGACGATTGATTCAGGAAGGCCGTGATGTCGGAAGACAGCGTCGATGAAGAGCACCGCGGTATCGGCCGCGGTGATTGAGTCCGGAACCGGAACGAGATGGCACATCTTGCTGAAGCGATCCACGAAGACCAGAACACCAGTACGACCGT